ATGGCCCCAGCACTGCACCTCACCCTGGCCTTTGTCGGACCTGGCCACAGCCTGTCTCGGTTTCCCTGGCACTGGCCCCCCTCTTCGTGATGTCTTTTGGCTCACGCGCCTAGTCGCGGGCTCCTGGCCTCAGGTTAACTCAGTTCTCGGCTGTCTGCGACCCCGCTCAGTCCCTCGCGCTTGGTGGCACTCATTCTTGTCCCGTGGAGTCGGGTGAGGCACCCTAGCGTTCAGGTGACGTGCGCTTTGACGACCAGTTCCGGCTTGAGTGCTTGCCTTTCCCTGGCCTCTGGTTTCCAGTCATTGCCACAGCCTGGCTGTGTCTGCCGTTGCCGCTGGTTTGATGGGACTCTGACTTACCGTTTGATTGAAGAGTGGTTCAGCCTTCTTGGTCGGCCGTGCGATCATCCCCGTTGGCCTGCTGCCTAGCATGTTGGTCTGTTTATGCAGCCCTGCGCTTCGCCACGCCTGTGGCGCGTCGACCTCGTGGCGCCTGGTGCGACAAGGTTCAATTCATCCTTCCTGGTGGTCTCGTCCCTGTGATGCCCGCACGCTTGCCTGGCCACCTGGCAGCTCCCGGCAGCTCCTGCAGCCTCAGCCTTCGGCACCGCCCAGCGTCCTTCGGCGGTAGTCCTGCAGCCGCCTGTGCGCGCGCTAGGTTAATTAGTTCTGCTCGTAACCCGAGCTGACTTGTGACGCCGCTGGCGCCTTCGCCTGCGGCTGCGACGGAAAAAATTATCCCCACCAACCCATCCAGAAACGATGCCCATGAGAGTTGACGGGGGAGAGAAGAAAAGGCACGCATAGTCCAACAGCGAGGGAGGCTTGGGAGGCTCCATGGCCATCTCGAACCGTCTTGGAGCGGTCTTGGGGCCGCTTAGAGCATCTTGGGAACCATCTTGAGCCAGCTTGGGCTATCAGAGCCATCTTGGAGGTCATCTTGGGTTCTCTGAGGCAGCTCGGGGGCCTTTTGGGGGCATCTCGGGTGCCTCTTAGAAGCCTCTCGGGGCTTCTTGGGGCGCTCTTTGGGCTGGAGGGCCTCTTGGGGCCATCTTGGAGGCGGTCGGTCAAAAGAGGGGGGGGCCCTCGATTTTCGTCCCCCCTTGGGGGCCACGATTGTCGTGAGGGGTGTCAAACATTGGCCCTCCCAGTGGCCGAACAAGGATCCTCTGACACATCGGCCCCTCTCCAAAAACACACGCACAGGGAGGGGAGGGGGAGGGTTCCCTTCCCCGAAAGGAGAAAAAGGGTTGTGTAAGAGGAGCGAAACCCTCCTTAGGCTACCTGTCGTAACAGTTAAAAACCCAGTCTGGGGAGGATTCCTTTGACCAGGTTTGAGTTATCCAGGGTTTTTCTCCGACTATTTTGAACTCTTCGTCCAAAATCGGCCTGTGGGGGGCAGGCCCGACCTAAGATTCGCTGCGTCCGCGGCCTCGGAAAGCGCGTAACTTTTGCTGGTGGTTGCGAGGGGGTCGCGGCCCGGGGGGCGCGTGGCGCCTGTGCCTCTTTGGGCGAGCGGCCGTGCGCTCGGGAGCGCGGGCCCGCGGTGTCTCCCGAGGGGTCAGTGGCCTCGGGAGTGCGGGCGCCTCGTTTGTTGTTTTTTTCAATAGGGATCGTGTCCGCGGGAGCGATCGTCCATCGTTTTGTTGTTCTAAGATTCGTTGGTGTGTATTTACAGAAATATAGACATATAAGTATACAACAGATCTTCAGTATTTGTTTTCGGTTTGTTGTTTTTTGTTTTGTTTTGGTATTTCTTCCTTTTTCCCGAGAGATCGGAGTGCGGGTCCGTGCTTCTATTCCCAGGGTTTTTTGGCCTCGGGTGCGCGGGCGGCCCATGTCTTTTTTTGTACCTCGAGGCATCGTGGGCTCGGGAGCGCGGGTCAGCAGCTTTGCTTTCGGAGGGATCGTGGCCTCGGGAGCGTGGGTCCGTAGGTTGATTTCCGAGGATGCGGGCGCGGGCCCACTTTTTCAGAACTGGTTCGTGGCCTCGGGGCTGCGGATCCAGAGGGCTGTCGGATCTCCCTCTCTCTCTCTCTCTTTGTTGAGGCCTCCATGCTGCTTAACATGACCATGGCTGTGGCCTTCTCTTCTTCAGTCCCCTCCCCTCCCCTCTCCTTTCGTCTCTTCTTCACTTCTCCCCTTTTGCGGTATTTTGAACTTACTCCTCTTCTGTCCCATCTCGATTGTCCCGCGCACCGTGGCTGACTTCTCGCCTCCTCTCAAATTCCTCGCCAGGCGAAAGCGAAAGAACACATCCTGGAGGCGCAGGTGATGACGTGGTTCGTGCAGCTCTGTCTCGCCCTCCAGTGCCCTTCCCGACGACTGGGCACCTGTTTTCCTCCCATGTTGACTAGATGCAATGCGCTCGCGTAGACCCTGTTTCAAATCTGTCCGTTTCCCATCAGCAAAGCCTCGCAGGCCTAGAGGTTGACACCAACACCAATATCGGCGGTGTTCCTCCACCGTGGGAAGAGGATCCCGATCTCGGTGATGGTGGTAATATTCGGGCTGCCAAGGTGACCGAACCATTAGCACCAACACCGAAATCTAGGATCATCTCCCCCCTGTGGAGACAACCCCCTGCGTTGGTGTTGGTGCCCATTTCCAGGCCTCCAAAAGCCTGGCTGATCCTCACTGTTCCTTCCCCTAGTCCTGGTTCTCCTCCTCGTCTCCCCTGTGCCTCGTTTCCCCCTCCACCCCGTTCCCCCTCCCCATTCCTCCACCCCTCCCCCTCCACTTCCTCCTTTCCCTCCTTGTGCTGCTCTTCCTCGCTGTGCCCCTCCTTGGTCCCTCACCCTGGCATGTGTGATCAGAGACGCGATGGAGCTTGAACTGTGGAGGTTAAGTGTGGCGCGAAAAGGATATGGTGTGGTGGCGGACGAGGGGGGATAGGGAAGATAATGATGAAAGAGAATGAGATGGAGGGGGGAAGCGGATGTTGATGAGCATGAGCATGATGATCATGATGACGATGACGATGATGATGATGATGGTGATCATCATCATATTGACGTTGACGATGATGAAGATCATGTTGTTGATGATGATGCTGCTGACGATGGTGACGATGACGATGACGATTACGATGAAGACGACGATGAAGATCACACGATTATGCCGATGACGACGGCGACGAAGATGATGATTTTATCATTCTGATGATGATCATTATCAGGTTGATGACGAGGAGGGGGAGGATGAGGAGAATGATGATGAGGATGATGATGATGACGATGATGGTGATGGTGATGGTGGTGCTGATGATGATGACGAAGATGAAGGTGAAGATGAAGATGCTGATGATGATGATGATGCGGATGCTGGTGATGCTGGTGATGATGGAGACGATGATGATGATGATGCTTAGAAGGATGATCATAATGATGGTTCTGATGCTGATGATAATGATGATGATGATGATGATGATGATGATGATGGTGATGATGATGATGATGATGATGGTGATGGTGATGGAGATGATGCTGAGGCTGAGGAGGAGAATACGGATTATGATGATGATTACGATGATGATGATGTGGTGATGATAATGCTGCTGCTGATGATGACGATGATGATGGTGATGGTGATGTTGTTGATGATGATGATGAATCTAATGATGATGATGATGATGATGATGATGATGATGATGATGATGATGTTGGTGATTTTTTATCGTTATGAGTATTATCATTTTATTTCGATGATGATGATGTTGATGACGATGATGCTGCTGATGATGACGATTATGATGATGATGCTCATGATGATGATTCTGATGATGATGGTGGTGGCGTTGATGATGATGATAATAATACTGACGGTGATGATGATGATACTGCTGACGGTGATGATGATGATGCTGCTGATGATTCTGATGGTGATGCTGCCGATGATGATGGTGATGGTGGTGTTGATGGTGGTGATGATGATGTTGATGATGCTGCTGATGATGATGCTGAGTGATGATGATGATGATGATGATGCTGATTCTGATGATGATGATGGTGATGATGATGACGATGACGATGAAGATGGTGATGATTATGGTGACGATGCTGATGATGATGATGATGATAGTGATGATTTTGCTGATGATGATGATGATGATGATGACGATGGTGATGATGACGATGGTGATGATAGTGATGATGGTGATAGTGATGATCATGCTGATGAGGATGATGATGATGATGATGGTGGTGGTGGTGGTGATGATGATGATGATGATGATGGTGATGATGATTATGATGATGATGATGATGATGATGATGATGATGATGATGATGACGACGATGATGATGATGGTGATGATGATGGTGATGGTGATGGTAATGGTGATGATGCTGCTGCTGATGATGATGGTGATGAGATGATGATGATGCTGATGCTGATGCTGATGTTGAGGATGATGATGATGAGGATCAGGATCAGGATCATGATTATGATGATGATGATGATGATGATGATGATGATGATGATGATGATGACGGTGATGATGGTGATGATGATAGTGATGATGATGATGATGATGATGATGATGATGATGATGATGATGATGATGATGATGATGATGATGATGGTGATGGTGATGGTGATGGTGATGGTGATGGTGATATGGTGACGACGTTGCCGATTGGTTCTGCTAGGGCCTTGCCAGTAAGAGTTGGATTCCCCGGCTCGACGCTCGCCTGTCTTCTCCTCTCCTCGCCGCTGGCTGGCTCGCAGCTTTTGGGATCGAGCAGGTTACACCCCCTTCTGCGGAAGGGATCCTCCCTTGATCCCTGGCCGCCACGGCGGCGATTGTAGTCTTGCTGGCCCTGGCAGGATGGACGGGCCATGCCCGCGCGGAGCAGGCCCCGCCAGCCTCGGACGTGCCCAGGCTGCGAGCCAGTACGGTCGCCGGGGCCGCCGCCGGTGCCGTCGCGGGCCAACCCGAGCGACGGAGCCACCGCGGCACCCGCGGTGAGCGGAGGTACACCCACACTTCCGGAGCAGGAGCCGCGTTCGGTGTTTGGGCGCCGCGTAATGGGGGGGTCATAAATGGGGGGGTGTCGCGGGTGGTCCGAAAAGGTACCCAAACGGTGCCTCAACGAGCCCCCTCGGGCTCTGGAGGGGCCCGAAAGGGGCACGAAAGGGGACCTTTTTTGACCCCCCCATCTGTTACCCCCCCATTAAGCCACGCCCAAGGTGTCCGTCCGCCAACGCCGCGTCTCTGGAAGGAGGAGCGGAGTCTCCCCCCGTGCCGCCTGGCCTCGAGGCGCCGGGGCCCGGGAGTTCCTGCGGAGCCTCCGGGGAGGCCGAGGAGTGCAGCAATTTTCTCGGTGACCCGGAGGGAGGTGGAGGAGGACGCCCCGCTGGATGGGGAGGGAGACGTGGGAGGAGGAGGAGGAGGAGGAGGAGGAGGAGGAGGAGGAGGAGGAGGAGGAGGAGGAGGAGGAGGAGGAGGAGGAGGAAGGAGGAGGAGGAGGAGGAGGAGGAGGAGGAGGAGGAGGAGGAGGAGGAGGAGGAGGAGGAGGAGGAGGATGAAGTCGAGGGCGCCCCCTGTGACGGGATCCCGGGGTGCGTCAGCCACCGCCTGGACCATAAGTGAGGGATCGGGTCGCTGGGGACGAAGGATGAGATCCCTGGGCCCTGCGCGGAGGCAGGAAACGGAGACCCTCTGGCATGCCGCGGCCGACCCCCTGTTGGAGTGCATTGGAGTGGGGCTTTCAGAGGCCCTCGGCGCCGCGCCCCCGGAGCCGCCAGGCAGTTCGCTCCCGTCGCCCTCAGCGGACTTGTGGCCCTCCTGGCCCTGGGCCGCCTCATCGTGCTGGCCGCGCGGGGAGTGTTCCTCCTCTTCGGCGTCGTCGCCGGCGGACGGAAGCTCTGGTGAACGCAGACGGAAGGTCCCCGCTTCCTGGACCATCTCTTCGACTGGAGACAACCCGACGCTCGGGCCCCCGCCGGCGGTTTCTTCGCGGGATCGATGCTGGGAGAGGGACGCTCAACCATCGGAAGAGCAATCACCTCCTCGTCGTCATCATCGGAGGGCAGCGGGCCCGACTCGAGCGCGGGGGGTTTATTCCCCCGGCCGCAAGGAGAAATGGCCAGGCTTTCCCGTGCGGTGCCGTGGTGCCCAACTGCAGCTGCCCGCGCTGGAGGGCGCCCCGGAGAATATGGTTTTCCTGGGCAGCCGGGCGGATGGCAAGGCCCCCCTGGGGTGGCCGCTGGCAGCAACTCTACACCGAGGTCGACGCGGGCGCCCGGGTGGACTTCGAGAAGCAAACTCCGTTCGGGAGCCCCGCTGCGCTGGTTGGCGCGGCGCCTCCTGGGCCCCTGGCGCAGCGCGGGCGACTCTCGTGCGGGCCCGGCTGCTTCGGAGGGGCTCGGGCCCGTCCCGCGAAAGCTGCGGTGGGGGCCGCTTGGGATGGAGGAGCCCTTCCAGCAAGCTGGGCAGCCTCGGCCTCTTGGCACCGCGCCGGGTCCCTGACGGTCGAGATCCTGCCCCGCTATTCGCGGCAGGCGCCCCCCGCTCGGACGCGGATGGCTGGGAAACAATGGGTGGAGGTCTTCGCCCTTCTCTGTCTGGGACACGCGGAGTAGCGCGCCGCCGCTCGGCTGGCCTCTCGGCGCGCCGCGGATCCCCCATGCCGTCGCATCGGATGCAGGTGGGTGGGGGGAAGTGGGTCTGCGTCGCCCATGCCCGCGCGGCGTAGGCTGGCTTCGCAGTGGGCCAGCCAGCCAGCCTCTTCCCATGACCCCCCCGCCGCTGGCGCCTTGGGGCGCCCCGGGAGATGCCGAGGGGCATTCTTCCCCGCGTTCTTGCTGCTGGAGGGGCCGACCGCCAGGGGCTGGGCGGGGGAGTGCGTGGTCCTCACAGGTCGGCGCGGGCGCCCCCCGCGGGGCACCCGCCGGGCATGGTGGTGATCTTCGCCCCAGCCATGGACTTCCGCTTTTCGCTGTCCTTCCAGGTCCTCCGAGAAGGAGGCCAGGTCCCCGCGCTTGCCCAGAGCCTGGCAGCCGCCGTCCTCCCGGAAGCGTCGGAGGCGCGGCGAAGCCGAGGAAGGACAGGCTCCCGACGGAGCGCGCCTCGGCGTAAGCATTGCACTGCGATCGCCCGCTCGACCGATCTTTGGCGCCCTCCTTGCGCCAGACGGATGGGCCCAGAGCCCGCCCCAGCCGGCGCGGATTGGGGCCCGCCGTGGCAGGGGCAGGAGCGCCGGGAGGCGCCCCCCTGCGCTGGCCTCGGAACGCAGGATCGCGCGGGCAGCCGCGCCCCGCGCCGGGGCCGCCCCGGATCAGCTTCGAGGGGCCCATCGGCTGCCGCGGGAACGGAGGCCGATCTCCCCGCAGCCGCGCCGTCGAAGATGTCCGTTGGGATCGGACCAGGCGAGGCATCGGAAGCAGTCCAGGGTTGCTGCGTGGAGGGCCCGGCGGCGTTCATTCGGGCCGCCCTGGGCCAGGCCCAGTGCAACGTCGACGCCGGGCGTCGCGCCCCCGCGGGGATGGGCCTGGGCCTCGGCGTCCACCGTGGTCGGCCATCTG